TGAAGAGATATATCCATCACTCTCACAGTATCGTTACAATAATATTTCATACAAACAATACTACAAATGACATTTTACTCGGGAGGCATCTTCGCTAGCCAAGGGTTTCTGATACACTACACTCCTCATAAGCCCTTGGCATACGGTGTTAAAAAAAGTTGGGATTTTTTTCTCAAGTTGTGATTGGAGTTGATCGACATCGTTCGACCAATCAGCAATTGTTTTTTGTAAATGACAATATTTGCGTTCGGGATATATCTTGACTCTTTAATATTGGGAATGAAAAAAGCAAGTAAGCAATGATCCGTAAGATAACATGCCATTCTATATGGTGTCATCCAATATCTTAAGCTACGTACAAAATATGTGATTAAGAATCAATACTGAAGATGTAGATTTGCATTTTAACATGTTTGAATAACAAATTAAAAATAACTCAATATACCTTCTTGTTTATTATTCTTTAAAAACATTATTTTTTTAAAATACGCTTTTTTATTTCTGTCGATGACGCAATCTGTGCGTACCTGGTAAGAATCGTGATCACGTGATGAAAACAATCCCGTCTTTTGTCAGCACCGTATGCCAAGGGTTTATGAGGAGAGTAGCGTATCGGAAACCCTTGGCTAGCGAAGATGCTCGGGAGGTATCACTATCACCAACTTTGGGTCTTTATTTTTTACCTCCCTTTCTATGTTCGTGCCGCGGGCCAGGTACCCCTCAAAAGACCAAACATCTAAAGTTTGTTTAGAAATTTTTATTTTAAAAAAAATGATTTATATTTCCTGTGACATGCAAAATTTAAAAATACTTTAAAATACAGGATTGTAAACTAAAATTAAAAAACACTAAAATTCGGAGAATAATTCCCAAAAGTTATAATGTCACGCCCACCATTTGCATTCATTCAAGCTTTTGGGTTACTTAGATATTGGGGGGGGGGACAGAAATCTTCTTTCTATGATGTTTCTCTCAAAAAAAATAATCCTTAGAAAAAATGACAAATATACCTTTGAACTGTATGGAGAAAAGGAACCTTGAGCTTAAAAAAATTCATTCATTTTAAATAAAAAATATTTATATATAGTATGGCCTCAGGTTCTAACCTTTACAAGAGTATTGCTCCTAGTAGTGTTTGTACAAAGTTTGATACAGGTATTAAACAGCATTTATGCAAAAAATGAATAAATCTTATTTATACATATCTGATTCATGATTGTTTATTATAATGCAGAGCTCTACGTTAATGTGCTGACCTAAAGATTATAGGTTATTGTTAAGGAAAGAAAAATCAATTATCATCAAATATTACATGAAAAAATCATTAATAGAATTTTTAAGGTGCTGTATTTGTTTGTTCCGCATGCCTAAGAACCCATGTAAAAATTTTAATTAATATCCTTAGTGTCTGGTGATACATGTAGGTAAAGAAAAAAGCGTCAAGTAAAATCAATGTGATTTGATATTTGATACAAAGAAAGACCAGAGTCTAATCCTAATGGCAAATCCTTAATTAAAATATCCCTATGTTCATTGTTCATCGTTTGAAAGAATTCTAACTTCTTTCCTCTGATACGCGCCTTATCTTAATATTGAAATTGACTTAAAAATGTGATATTAGCATGAAGCAGTGATGTGATTGGATCAGTTGGGCAGAGGGAAGCTTAACTAAAGTCCAAATAACATTACTTTTAATATTGAGAACACTTAATGAAACAAACCTATAAAATAACAATGAAATGCAGTGGTTTCATAATTAACATTATTTTATTCAATATCATTTCGTTGGTTCACGGATGGGATTATCTATATTCCATGTTTGATTACCTTGGTGATGTACCCATGCCTTCTTCTGATGAGCGATATAGTCAGGATGGAACTAAAATGAGATGCTTTTCAACTTGTTTGCAAACTAATACTTGTTATTTAATTGATTACTGTAGAAACAATCATTCAAAAACGTGTTACCTGTACGATAAAAATACAACTGCCAGCGATACATTTAATGGAGGACCTTGCAGACGGTACAGACTAGTAAGTGTATATTCCAAGATGTTGAATTTAATATTCCAGGCTTCAAAAACACAAAAATGATTTTACTTACTGCTTAGTGACAAAAAACCTACCTCTTCAACATGCTAGTATACTTGTCCATAATGTTTTGATTCTTTAGGATTTTGTCTCCATCTCCCTTCAAAATACTAGTGTCATGCTAGCTTGTAACTCCTTTGCTCGAATCAAGCACCGATAAAATATCACTGGCTTCTCATCATGGAAAACCATATGGAAGACTACATCGTCTTTTCCTGTGGTTTCCATTTGGTATCAAAAGTTGGAAACTGTGGAATCCTGATGTTTCCCTAAATTCCATATGGTTTCTGTGAATGTGAAACCTGGAAATTCTGTGTGCCGTGAGTGTGAAACCTGTAGGAATCGAATTTTCCCACTGGGAACTTGTCATTAATCTAGAAGATTCCTTGGATTGAAAATAAGACCGTGGAACATTGACTGGCATTTGATTGGAAATATGCAACTTACGTCATTTGACTCATTTTCATTCTTACAGTCAAAACATTGATAGACAATGAAATGGGCGGGTACAATGTGACATGGACGTTTGAGAAAACTTTGGATTGAAATTCTAGTTTGAATTCATTTTCAATGCACCTCAGCTAAGCTCGAAGGCAACAAGTTAATGATTGATCCAGAAGACAAATAATTTTAGTTTTGGAATAGTTTTTTTTTTAAATTAAATCAGAATTTTCTGTCCAGTGCTTTTTTTTTCTAAGAAATAAAAAGGGGAAGACCATTTGATTCCTGTTTGGGGGAGGGGGCTGAAAGATCTTGGAAATAAATCAGAAAGGTTTTGAGTTTGGACACCCCCTCCTCCCCCATTTGTTTGTCAACATTTTCGGTGAAGAAAAAATAAATAATATATCTTGTCATCCTAGAAATAAATATATTCTGTAACGTGAAGTCATGAACATAAATTACTTGACTCGACAAAATGTGCTTCCCCCCCCCCCTTCCGAATCAAATGCCCTTCCCCTGAAAGAATATATCTACATATTGTATAACGTTTGTGTGTCCTTAAAATATTTGAAAGAAAATTCTTATATACATTAATTGATAAGTATTTGGGAAATGAAAGTATTTGTCCTTTGGATCATACATTAACAGTTTGCGTATGAAAATAGCTCAGTTGGATTGAAAATGAATTTCGAACTAGAATTTCAATCCAATTGTATTGAATTGTACCCGCCCATTATATTGTTTCATTGTCTATCATCAAATATTTTGACTGTAAGAGATGAAAATGATGTAAGCTGCATATTTCTAATCTTCCGTAGTCTTAATAGCATGCGCTGTGGAAATCTCAAGTTTCTGTATGGGAAACCTTTCTTAATTCAATCATAGTATATTCAGTAGCAGGAAAACTTTACAGAAATCTTGAAGTTCTTTTAAGTTTCTCTTGTTGGAAAGCACATGGAATATAAGCGGAAATCCGAAGTCTCCCCATGTTATCCTTAGAACGGAAAGCTTGGGGAATCAGAGTGTAGTAGTTTCTGTTGCATAGAAACTTGGCAGGAATCCTGAAAATTCCCACAATGTAAATTATTTGGATGCTTTAGGGAATCATAAGTTTGCTAATGTTTCCTTGTGTGGGTTAAAGGCGGAACTTTGAGGATCCTATGATCAAAAAATATGTAGAAACTTCTTAGGATGAGATCATCTGACCTTCCTCGGATCAGCAGCCCGTATACAGGATAAATCTTGTATATTTTACGTGCCTGTCGAAATTTTGCAAAATTTGCGCCAGATTCTTTCTTAAGAAACTTGCTGAAATGTTTCATTCACAAAATCAGACAGAAAATAAATACTAAGAAAAAAATCCACATGATATCAAAATTTCATTTATATTTTCAGAAATATACACATGTACATGTAATTGATTATTTAAGTTACGACATGAAATAAAGTTACATTAACAAGTTGCTTTATACGAACTCAATGAATCTATGAATAAAACAAATAAAACATAGAGAATATTAAATATGAATGTATCAACACTGCGGCTGGAATAAATCAAGCAAAAAAATGGCTATTATATAAAAATACTTTATGATGAGTACAGCATAAATGGAAAGCACATTTAGAGAATATTCATAAATAGAAGATAGTGAAGCGAATATCTCGAAACTCAAAAATTTAAAGTATAGATGAAGTGCAGAAATAAACATTCATTTTCACAATGTTTGATTCTGAGAAATCAGGAACATAAATCGAAAAGATCCGAAATCCGAATGCATGTAATAATAATTTATATAAAAAATCAAGTGCCACACTTGTTTAAAGAATAACAGTATAAGTTTAGATTTTAAAATTTCATGAAAACTTAAGGACAAACAATATGCACAACTGAAAAAATGGTACAAAAAAGATTTAAATAGAATATGTTCATTGAAGTTCCCTTTTGAATGTTAAAAATACCCTGTTCCTAGATCAGACCTAGAACTGTACACAAGCAAGCAAAAAAAGTAAAAAATGCAGGAATTTATGTGAATGTGATAAGCTGCATGTAATTAAACAATGAAACTGTACAATGCCGAAATAAATATTGACAGATGTTCAAACATATAGACATTAAAAAAAGCTGATAGCTCCTAGTTGGGTTGTATTTCTTTACTTTCAAATAAAAATTCTTAATTTCTTGCCTAGGAAAGTTTCATTTGGTCGAGCTCGGAGACAGATGTCCTGTAATTTCTACTTGATTTATGATGATATTGCCTGTTCATACTAGTATATCATTTTATCTATACTGCTTTTAGAGACAACTTTGTGAGAAAGGATTTACAAATCCTTGTAGATGCCCTGATAATGTTGGTGAAGAGCGATGCAGATACAAATATGGTAAGGTTCTCCCTCGATAAGACTTTAATGACATTGAAATATTTACTCATAAACCTTTATAACACTATTTCAAATTGCTCGTTTTTCCAGATTGCAACGGGAATCTTGTTCCTATGAACACACTTTCATATACATATTCCAGAACATTTTCGGACGGAAATAACCGTGACATTCTCTGTAACATGACTACAGATAATGGTGGATGGATAGTTTGTATACATTTCAGACTTCTGATAAACAACATAAAGCCATTTAAACAAATGCACAATGCTATAGAAAATATATGCACTTGCTATCACTTTGTGTTTACACTTTTAAAAGGTCTTTCAACGTCGTTTTGATGGAAGTACAAACTTTTATCGGAACTGGACGGAATATGCAGTGGGTTTTGGTAATTCTACCAGTGAATTCTACTTAGGTAACCGTGACAACAAGACTCGTTTACTCCCATTTTTTCTCAGCAAAACCTTTGCTGAAAGTTAAGTATAAAATATTTAATGCCCAGAACCTGTTTTCCTAGTTCTGTTTTCCTATTATTGTTGACTTTCAACTTAATTTCCTCTGCAAAACTATTCATTAATAATCTATTAACAGATACTTCAAAAATGCTCAACGATATGATTGTCAATTTGAACGATAATTTTTTTTAAAAAGGGAAGATTTTGAATTGAAAAGCAGCTTTGAGACATATAGAGTCTTTAAAATAATCATGTTCATTTTTAGTACCACAAAATGATTCTCTTGAAGCACAAAAAACTGTCATTTTAAAATTTCCCTTTCTTGAAAAAATGTGTCGATATACTGAGCATTTTTTGTTTTGGTTGTTTTAGTGTGAGGAGTATCATGAATCTAAAGATAGAGAAAGTGTTCAATTCATTTTTTCTCTTATGGTTAAACATGAAATTTGTTCAATGGTATATGCATATTAAGCGTCTGAGAAGATAGATAACTCTTTTTCAGATAAATGACTATTATTTCTTTAAAAAAATTGTCAGGTAAAAAGGCATTTCTGTCAATTTTTGCCCCGAAAGGTAACCTTAAAGGCGATTGTTTGTTGATTTCAAATTTAATATTTGACAAACGACCAGCATTAGCATTGATTCAGTAGTTGAAAATCCATGTGCATTATAACATGCAATTATAAACTTTATTTTTCTTAGGAAATCAGATTATCCATGAAATTGTGAGAGATGGGATTTTTGAACTCAGAATTGATCTGGAAGACAAAACAGGTGAATGGAGATATGCCAAATACGGACAGTTTTCTGTCTATGGTCCTGATTCTATGTATCAATTGCATGCGACTGATTACAGTGGAAATGCTGGTAGGTTTCTCTTCAAAAGTTGTGAAACATAAAAAAAATTATTAGGAATAGCAACTTTTTTTGCTAAAGTTAAATATCTTTTTTATGTAGAAATTTATTGTTTTACTAAACTTAAATATCTTTTTTGAGTTTGCTTTGTGCAACATTTAAAGTATGAAAAAATGTCTTAATTATTTGTAATCCGATTTATTTTATGTTTGAAATGTTAATGTGTACCATATGAGGTTTAATTGGCCATATCTTACTTCTCCTAAAGCAATCGACTCAAAAAGAATAAAATGCGGATGAGATGAAAAATAAACAAAAGTCTTTTGAAAGATAGATGCAAAAATTGCCTTTTTTTAAATCTATGATAACAATAATAAATGTCATAAGTCGTTGGCCATTTAGTTGAGATGAAAACTTCCAAATAATGAACATGGTGTATACATACAGAAACTTGAAGAGTAAATAAATTTTCTACACTACCTTTCCTTGTTACTTTTATAATTGAAGGCAACAGCCTGAAATATCACCATGGTCGAAACTTTACAACATTTGACATGGATAATGATATTTGGCCTGAAAACTGTGCCGTTCGTTGCCATGGAGCTTGGTGGTATGGAGGCTGTCAACAAAGCAACCTGAATGGTGACCATGGAAACGATGAGCACGCAAAAGGAATAAACTGGCTGCATTGGCATGGTTGGTCTTACTCAATGGTATCCACACAAATGATGGTCAGAGTTACCAAACATTAACTGCTGAATCTCTGTTTAAAATTATAGTAGAAGTGTACTGTAAAAGATATAAACTAGACAGCACTTTTCAAACATAAGTGCTCTTTCCTCGAATTTTTGGTTATTCTTATACCACGTGAGATTTTATTGAGCCAATAAAATATTGGAAGGCCGGTCTCCCTACTTTTGGAAAGTTACATTCACGCCTTTCCCCCGTATTGGTCGGAGGGGTGTTCTGGGGTTTTTCTTTGGTTTTTTGTTTGTTTTTTTTTAAATGCGAAATCATATCATAGTATAGTAATTGATATAAACTGCACTTTATTTTATTGTAATCATTTTGTTCTGTTCATATAAGGTATTCAGAAGAAAGAAATGTTTCGAGTTTTGAAATTTTTCTTTTTAGATTGTAAGGAATAATTATGTTGTCTTGGATGTAATCAATGGATATTCACTGTAATAAATCATATGGAAATATATGCTGATCTTGTGGGTTTTTTTTTAAACATTTCATTTGTTTATATATCTGAAATAACTTTGTAGATGGACTCTTTCACAATTATATATATATATATATATATATATATATATATATATATATATATATATATATATATATATATATATATATATATATATATATATATATATATATATATATATAAATACGTAATCAATTAAGAGAACATCAAATTAGTAACAGGCTAGGCCTAACAAACTTTAACTGCTTGCTTCTATGGTCGTTAAGTGACATTGTTTGTATACACAACCTATCTAGGATCGTATTTTGTCTGACGTTTCATATAATTTGTAAGGTCATTGCTTTTATACTTAATTTGACCACGGAGTACTCCGTCTACCGGATCAATACATAGAATTGACTCAATGCGGGTGTGGCAGGTCGATAGGGATGCTTACTCCATCTAGGCATCTGATCCCACCTCTGGTGTTTCCAGAGGTCTGTTTTTTTGCTCTGTTTACGATTAGTTTTGTTACTGGATTTAAGAATTGGTCACTGTTCATTATCTTCATTTCTTATATTCCTATGAATGTTAATATTTCATTTTATGTATCTTATTTTCTTCACCTGTCACAAATGATGATAGTATACTTTCATGTGAATTACTTGAATTTAATTTGTCTAAAAACACTTGTTAAAAATCACTGTTACACTTTGATTGATGAAATAACGCCCTCCAGCTTGATAGAACTTAGCAACAGTCAACATTGCTTGAAGACGAGTGATATTCCAAAAAATATTGACTGCGCGAAATCTATGCACACTTGCTTCACCTTTATTTATGTTTGTATAAAACAATCAGTATAATATAATAAATACTGCATGTGGTTGAAGGTAACATTGGCTGCGCCTGAGGAGACAATGATTTTTTCTTTTGGTGAAAATTTTCAATATTACCCTCAACTACATGCAGTATTATTATAATGATGATATAAGCAACATGATTCGAAGGCAATATTTACATAGTATACATCAGTGAAATATATGGAGATAACGAACAGTATTCAAGCTCAGAGTACATTCAAACAATACAAATCAGGAGCAGAGCAAACACGGACCTCCAAAACATCAGAAGCGGGATCAGGTGCCATAGAGGGTTGAGCATCCCCTGCCGACCGGTCACACCCGCCTTGTGATCCTTGTCATGATTGGGAAATAATGGGAAAATCCGTCGACAATTTAGTGGGTAAATAATGGCCTAACAATAAGTAGGAAAAACGTCAGTCAGCAATTGACTTAATGATAGATTGTATTTGCTGAGAAGGTCGTAGTATCGACCACAGAACTTACAAAATGACGACTTAAAACGAGACTGTTGATATCCTTGTTTCACCAACTTATTTGTCAATAACTTACCACGTTTTAAATATTGTTCATACATAGAGCATGCTTTTGCGTATCGAATCAACTGAGAGATATAAACTCCATATGCAGGTGATGAGGGCATATTGCTGTATAAGTAAGAGAAGTCGACGATTGAAAAGTAAAAATCACGTTTATCATCAAGCTTGGTTGTTAGATTACCATTAACGTCTTTTTTCTAGTAAAATACTGTAGATTCCTAAATATACGCGAGGAAGAAATTATCGCGTAATTACGCGAGAAACACCGCTCGCGAATAAAATTACTCGCTTTTATTTTTATGGTGCTTTAATGTATGTAAAATCTCTAGATAAATCAACCATTCGCGAATTATTATTCTCGCGATTTGACGCCCTTGGGTCATTTCGCGATAATAAGTACTCGCGTAAAATAAGGAATCTACAGTATCCAAATATGAAATCGATATAAAGAAAGTATAGGTCCAACATTGAAAAGATACCTATTGATATGAAAGTTGTAACTTTGTTGACCTATTGGAGAGGAAAAATACTGTTTTTTAAATACAGATATAGTTTGGTTAGTCTTGAATCTGCACAACTTTGCATACTTTTAAATCAATTAATGAGTTGTGTATATATATATATATATATATATATATATATATATATATATATATATATATATATATATATATATATATATATATATATATATATATATATATATATATATATATATATATATATATATCTTTTTCGTTGTAATGAAGATATTGAAAAAATTAATAAATCATAATTATATTTGCATCATAATGAAAGAAGCTTAAGAAAATTGTAAAAGATGCTACTATAAAGAACATCGGCATTGATTAAATACTCTGTACTTTATCAAAGAGGTCGTTGATTTTCAAATATAAATTTATTTAGAATAATGTGATATAATTACCAATGTTAAAAAATCTGGGAAAAAGTTGGATTTGTCATGTTTGGCATAATCATCTGACAGAGATTTACAACAAACTTCTAAAATAAATTTTTAACTATTGTATTTTTAAAAAAAAATATGCATTGAAAATTGGGGGAGGGGGCAAAAAAATTAATGTCTGAACAGATACGATTTTACTAAAATATCTTCAAAAGAGTAATTTCTCTAATTTTTAAAAAGTTCAAATTTAAAGGATTTAAAACTTCACTTCTAAAACAGACATTTTTTTATGAAGCATGTGCAAGATGTTTCTCTTAAAATGTTGGCAAATCTTTTATATTAATGCAATAAGTATCCTAATAGACCTGTAACCCATTAAATTGAACATTTCTTTTCAAAATCGTCTCATCACTAAATACACCATGTCTTATTCTACTTCAATGAATAAAAAGCCTGTAAAACAGTGTTTCGTATGTTTCTACCTTTCATACGTACTTCTATTCCACCCATGCAAATATGAACTTTATGAAAAAAAAAGTATTCCCATAGGTGACAAGTATTTGGTGATACCTTCTAAAACATCTAGAATGAGTTATACCTTACTTAAACATTTACATTCCAACTTCTCGCTTCAAACACAGAGATATTGACATACTGTATATAGGGGTTATTTCTGAAAGTTATGCCTTTTTTGAGTGATATCAAGGGAATAAAAGACCAAAACAAAAATCAAAATAATTTTTTTTTATTAAAAATTACACCTCATTAATTTAATTTCCAGCCTGAAAAACACGACGTTTGCCATTTGTCGCTTAATATAATACCATGAGGATCGTAATCAGGATGTGTTCGGATTATCACGGCGTCGTTCACTGCCACCGAAATAATCACCAATCCGGTGGCAGAATCGTCGTTGGCATTTGATCGTGAATGAGACCTCCCCTTTACAACTCCGTTGACAAGAAGTCCAAGGGGAACATTACCATGATATGTGCATGTAGCCCAAGTAAACACATAGTAACCTTCAGATGGAACTCGATATGTTCCACTTAACCTTTCATAAGCAGCGTGGGTGTCTTCGAGAACTTGATCGTATGCAAGCTCATGGACACGACCAAGATTTTCTACATTGTGCGAAAAACAGTCGTGGAAGGCAACGGTTGTAGGAATGCTTCTTTCTGAAAATTATGAGCAGCAACATTAAGGCCCAGAGGGAGGTTTTTTCCTTTTATACTTTTGGCTATCAATTTCAAAATTTTAAGAAGCTAACAATTCCTAATCAAATTTGGGGGCAATTAATTTTGAACCAAATCAAATTAGAACCAGAAGTCTCTGATGAGACTGAAGCTCTACTGGTCTGTACGTATAACAAGGGAAAAGTAGGACTTGGTTTTGAAACTTTGCCACATGCAGCAGTAAATAGAATTATGTATCTTAATGTAGTCTACTTGTGTGCCAAGTTATATTGAAATCAAACGAAATCTGTAGGAGGAGTAGCGTTTTGAAAGTATTTCACAGAAATTTCTATTTTTAGTAACCATGGCAACACCATTCATTGAAATAGTGTTATGTATTGAAAGTAGTCTAATTGTGTGCCAAATTAGATTGAAATCAGACAAAAACTGTAGCAATCGTAATGTTTTCAAGGAATTTTATATAGAAATTTCTATTTTTAGTAACCATGGCAAAACCGTTCATCAATATCAAAAATCAATCCATCAAATTAGATATCTAAGTGCAATCTATTTGTACGCCAAGTTATATTAAAACAAACTAAAATTATATGTGGAATTGCGTTTTCAAAGAATTTCACAGATATTTCTCTTTCTAGTAACCATGGCAACACTGTTCATCGAAATCGAATATTAATGTACTAAATTATGTAACGAAGTGTAATCTACTTTTATGCCAAATTATATTGAATTAAACTAAAACTGAAGTATGCTAGGAGTAACATTTAAAGTAATTTCACAGAAATTTCTATTTTTAGTAACCATGCAAACCACTCATTGAAATCAAAAAACCGATGCACTAGATTATGTATCTTAGTATAGTCTATTTGTATGACAAATAATATTGAAATCAGATTAAAACTGTAGCAGGAGTAGCGTTTTAAAATAATTTCACAGATAGCTCTGTTTTTAGTAACCATGGCAACACCGTTCATCGAAATCAAAAACCGATGCACTAAATTATGAATTTTGCCAATTTTTGGTGTAGTCTACTTGTGTACTAAATTATATTGAATTCAGACCAAAACTGTAGCCAGAGAAGTGTTTTAAAGGAATTTTACAGAAATTTCTATTTTTAGTAACCATGGCAACACCTTCATAAAAATCAAAAACTGATGACTAAATTATGTATCTTAGTGTAGCCTACATGTATGCCAAATTATATTGAAATCAGACTAAAAACTGCAGCAGGAATAGGTTTTAAAGTAATTTCACATAAATTTTTAGTTTTAGTAACCATGGCAACACCGTCCATCGAAATCAAAAACCGATGCACAAAATTATGTATCTTAGTGTAGTCTACTTGTGTGCCAAGATATATTGAAATCAAAGCAAAATTGTCGAAGGAGTAGCGTTTTGAAAATTTGTTTACAGACAGCCGGACAGACAGACGGACGGACGGACGACGGACACCTTACTATCGCATAAGCTCTTCTGGTCTCTGACCAGTAGAGCTAAAAATGGCATTATGCCAAATGATAATTTGCTTTTTACTAATATTGCAAGCATTACTTAATTGCTTCATGTGTCATTCTTGCATATAATTCAGAAAACATCCGTTTATATATTAACTGGCATATGTTATTGCCAGCTAGTCCAATGGCTTCAAAATAATTCTATTCTATGGAATGTTAAAGTAACGAAATTTTGAACTAATTAAAGATTTTTTAATTCACAATCGAAATGTAAATCAAATAACAAAGCTTTTACTCAGTTACAGACATTTTATCTTCTTTTTATTGATGATAAAAATTGTAGTCAATTATTTTCAACGGAGAAATATTTTTCTTTTCTTATTTAATAAAGGTGATATTTTGTTAAGTTACAGTGTGAAAGAATATCAGAAGCGAGGCAAAAGTCTTCGATTTTGCTTCCCCTCACGAAGAGTTAAAGTGTTAGAATAACAAATTTTCCCTGGTCCGTTATAAGATAGAGTAAATATAAACCATCCTGAGAGACTAAATCTGCCAAAGTTTCTCAAAACATCCATGTTTACAATGTTTTCAATCTTATAATAGTTTACATGTAGCTATGACGTCTTACAATGTAAGTCTCAACCACTCACCTATGAAATCACAGCCTATAACACTATGTTATGAAAAGACAGACGCAAAGGAAAAATTTAAAAATATGAAATAAACAGAAAATTCTATATTTTGTAGTTGAATATGGAATTCATTTCACTCATGAGACAGGATTATTTTTATATTTTCACTCGTTCTTCGCACTCATGAAAATTAAAAAAAAATCCTTCCCCATTCGTGAAATAAATTCCATGTCCATTCAAAAACATTGAAAATTCTCTATTTATCATAGATTTAAGTAAGAAATAACACATATTTAATGAGGTTATATTTAGTGTAAAGATAGAAAATATTTGAACTGGGAGGAAGAGGTAAGCTGTATATAACACATATTCTACTAGCAATGTTAATTACTGTAAGATACACATCTCGCTTTCTAATTAATTTCAAGATGATGGTCATATTGAGGTTACAATGACATTTAGCAAATTTCTCATATCGATCAAATTTGAACCAAAAAACCATTAATAACAACATTACTTCGTGAAATAAGCGGCAGCCTAATTCAGTTATGCTTTGAAACTAAAACTTGAATTATGACATGACTTCAGTATAGGTCAGCTTCATTTAAAGACACATAGACAACCTTTATTTAGCAGTATTTGCCATGTCTTGCTCTACCCAAAACTTACCTACATGTCTCTTAGTCTCTTGCCAATTTAGTACGCTGAAGTTCTGTTTGTCAAAAGTCCATTTATTCTGGTCAAGAACCATTTTTTCCAAAGTTAAGATTCGAGAGTCGAGCTTGCTTTTTTCTATAATGAATTGAATGATACATGTAGGTTTTTCTAAAATAAAAAAAATTGATAATACATTTATTCAATAAGATACGTAATTATTTCGGGGGAAAAGAGTACTTGAAATGTTTGTATGAATAATCAAGAACATCTTTTTACGTAATCGTATATAAGCTTTATCAATGAGCTAAAATGGTAAATATCTACTTAAAGATTGACAGCCAGTATACATAATTTTGAAGAGTTCTAGAGAACGAATTTAAAATAGCAAAAAATACACAGAAATTCTGTTTATCTTCTATTTAAAGTTCTGCATTGCATGCTTGTGTGTGTGTGTGTGTGTGAGGGTGTGTGTGTGTGTGTGTGTGGCATTATTTATTATGAATAAAATGTAATAATTGCGATTTAGGTATGTTTCTAGTCATCCTTTTAGAAAAGTATGGTCAGGACCTCTAACTTCAAAATTATTTATTATAACTTAACATTTATAACATATTTGAATTATCATTTAAATTATTCAATTTAAAAATGCACACAGAATTGTAGAGAAACACTATTTCTTGTGGTGGAGGGATATTAGGAAGAAAATCTTTCAAATCTTCATATTTCTTAAATTTAATATCTTGGAACTTTAGCCGAACATATTTTTACTTAGAGAACTTCTTTCGTTATTAAAATGTATATGCTAGGATTATTAAATAAAGACTTCAATTATTATTTTAAAACAAATTTTACACATTCACTCAACAGACTTAGCCAAAAAAAATTAAGATATATTGAAGAAGTCACGATAAAATATACAGTTTTTTGGGGGGTGGGGGGTGGGGGGTGAGGGGGTCTGAAAATTGCATATTTTGACCAATAACTCAAAATTTCCATCACTGATCCAAACCTTTTCTTTTATTTTTTTAAACTAAACAATGCTCTCAACCAATCAGCACTAATCGGCACCAAAGTCATAAAAAGCTTGAGCCCCCCCCCCCAAAAATCATTTTATTTTTATAGATTTTTAATACCCCAAATATGATATTTAAGTGCAAAAAGGTCACACAATAATTTGCATGCATTAATTTGTCGGATTTTATCAATAATAAATATAATTCAAACTTTTTTCACATAAATAAGATTTTATTTATCTGGTAAAATATGATAAAGGTTAAAGTAACAATTTAAGTGCCCAAAAAGGCAAGTTAATTGTACCGTTGTTCAGTCATACGCACACTGACCCCAGAATTTCTTTGCGATTTTGAGTCTTGCTATATGAGTAGTTATCTAAAATACTCTTCTCAAAAATCTTTGATATACCTCATGTAAGGAATGACATACCTTAAAAAGCCAATTTAGAACCATAGCATCACCGGTCAGTTTTATTGAATGTGTGGTTAAAGCATGGCAAAAAGATGCTTTCATACACAAACATAACATGATAATTATGCTAAATATAGATTTTAACAAATCAACAAATGAATACCACCACCGGCTCCTGGTTCCTAAAATGGGTTACTACTATGATTTTGTCGTTACCATCTGTCAATTTGGTAATAAAATTCAGCTGATATTGTAGTTGGTTGTGGTTATGCTGCAGCTGATTATTTTGATGCTTGACGATTTCTTTCAATTCCAAAAGTTCATTCCTCCAAGGTTCTTCCTTTAAGGCGGCTCCTAAAACACAAAAACAAGAACACACAATGAAATGGCCATTTTGTCGGAGATCCTTATCTATTCTCTTATCCCTTTCTATCACTCAGGAACATTGTATTGTTTAAACACTATAGGTTTTTATTTTCAAAGTTTGTCAAAGATAAAAAAAAAATGGGTAGGCAATAGCGAACTTATTGTTTACAGATTAAAAGCCATCGTTTACGATAAAATTCTTGTTGCCAGCCAATGCCATTGCACCAGAAGAGGCAGGTGGATTCTGTGTCCCTATCTGACGATGGATAATATATTTAATCCATAAGTATGGTAGAAGCACTCTTCCAATAACTCCTAACCAGTTCGCTTTGTGATCGGAAGGCCCGGGTTCGATTCTCGTTCGCCTTGCTGTGTCAAACCTAAGACGTAAACACAAGTAGTTACTGTTCCTTCACCATGGGCCCGGCATCACAAATGAAAGTCACTTGTCTTTAAAAACAGAGGTCCTGTGTCACGGTAGGCGTTTGCACGAAAAAAGAACCCTCACTGTTCAATGGCCTGGGTGCCGAGTAGGGGTCTAAATTTGAAGCTATTCACCGGTACATGGTGACGTCTCTATATGAGTGAAAAATTCTCGAATGGGACGTAAAACAACATACAATCAATCAATCAATCCAATAACTCCTGGATACATAATAAATGTTTAATTAGGACATGAAAAGCTTTTCTATATGTACGTGCCAAAATGTGGGTGTGATGTTTTATTAAAGCTTGATTTTTTTCCCGAACAGCAAAATAGTAACACACACGCGCCCTTTATATGTACACAAACTGTCCATAATTTGGAGACGAATATACATTATATGTGTGTTAAATATTTCTTGGAACAATACATTTTGCAGGAAAAAATACAGGAAATGAAACTTCACTAATTTGACAAAATCAAAATAATCTTTGACAATGGTGCCCAATATATTCTGTTGTGCTGTATATTGTATGTTTTTAGCTACACAAATAAGGATGAGATGTGGGGAAAAAAAATAAATGACAAAGACTTGATGATATAATTTTTTTGAAATATACAACTAAAGTACGCGTATTTTAAATAGAGGTTTTGGAGCAAATTTTGTTCTCTCCTAGAAAATGGACGTTTTAATTACAACCCCAACATTGAAGTTCACTAAAATATTAATGTTTTATCACAGACTAAATCAAGGATTGTATTTTCAGCCCATTCAAGCTTGAATTTATGATTTTTATGCTACATGCTATTTTTTGGTACATAGTAGTAAAAGATAAAAGGTAAAATTTTGGTTATTTTCAAGAGTTGATATCTTTCTTCTCTGGAGTTAGAGTAATGCCTCAATAATTTCCGAATAACCTCGTATACACCTTATAGAAAAGTTTTCTACTGTTCATTATTAAGGATTGTTTTGCAATTCTTGTAAACTTAAGTTTATTTTTCAGATACTAGTATTTCCATACTGAATTTACATGATAATCTAATTATGTGCAATGTATTTGATCTATGTGAACATCTAGGAGTGTTTCATTTTAAAGCTTCTGTACATCTGAAACAGAAGCCTATTTTGTTCTTAGGTCCTTTAATTTGTTGAAACGAGATTAGATCGATTAAAGGAGTAAAGATAAAGAGTCACTTAATGATGATTTCGATAGGAAACATATGCTGATCGAATGGAATGCAAAACCGAGTTCACATCATTTTTTATTGAAGTGCTTTTATAAATATACTCCATGTTGTGTGAACAGAAAAAAATTGATCTTATTTCATACTTGTAATATGCTTGTTTTATAGTAACTCAAACAAAATAAATCAATTACATAGGTTAGATTTTGATATTTTTTCCCACTTTCATTCAGTTAAATTGAACTTACAATTTAGTTAACGACATGTATCATACATTTTGAGAAAGTGCAAAATGCATAATTGTTACTATTGTATTACGATTTCCTTTGTACTTTATTTGGAATTAATTTCTGGGCAAAAACAGTTGCAGAGTAGATTTCAATTCTTTGGTTTCGTGAACAACTCACAATTTACATCATCAATTAAAATGAAAATTTCAGTGAGGCAATGTGCTGCTGAATGTGTAAGGAATGAGAATTGTTATTCGTTTGATTTTTGTAGAGAAGATGATTTTAAGACATGTCACATTCACAATCAAGACGAAAACAGCGACTTTATATATGAGAATGGACTATGCAGACGTTTTAAGCTGGTGAGTAGATTCGGTCTCATTTCTGTTTCGATCTATACTTAACATTTTATCCAAAAGGATTTCTTTCAAAGTGTCAACACACTGAAAAAATAATAAGAATATTAATACAAAAGGATTTTAGTTTATAGATAGCTTTTATCTAAATTATTAGTTGATAGAAATTTTGTAATATTTCAAAATAATTCAGAGTAGTTTTTTTTTCCTTTTTGTTTGGCATATAAATTCATCCAACGGAGAGTCCGAATGAGTTACCTGGATTCTTTAAAGCTCAAAATTCTTGTGATTGATCGTCTACAAAATTAATTTGTCTCTAAAGTCAACATTAAAGAATGCTGGGACTCATCATGGACAATATTTATATAAGTTCAGGACACAATGGAGGGCTTTCAACAATCTGTTTAAATTCCCATGGGTATTAATTCATTTATTTTGCTTATTTATTAGCAAATTTATTTTTGTATTCTTATGGAGCAGAATTCATTAAAAAAGACACATGCAAGAGCATGCTCTACGTGTGAACAATTTTTTAAACGAGGTAAGTTACTGACAAAGAAGTTGATGAAACAAGAATATCAACAGTCTCGTTTAAAGTCATCATCTTGTAAGTTCTACGAGCGATACAATGACGTTGTCAGCAAATACAATCTATCATTAAGTCATATGCTGACTGACGTTTTTCATACTAATTGTTAGGCAATTATTTACACACTGAATTGTCGACGGATTTTTCCGTTTTTGTATATTGCTGTTGCCTTAAATTCGACTTTAAGCTATATCGAGGACGTGTAATTAATTAATAATCTTCATTTTCATTCATACATGGATTCGATATACATCGTCGGGACCCACATATTTTCTCTCCGTTACAATGCATTCAACGAGAGAAAACTTTTGGGTTTCGACGATGGTACACATATTTCCCAATGAACTCAAATATAAGACACCACAGTCTCTGATATAATCTATTTCATATTTGGATTTTTACTAAAGAAAAAAGAAATTGATGCAAGGCTAACAATTAAACTTTTTAATATAAAAACAATGTGTTTACTTTTTCTGTCGTAAGCTTTCCTTATTTTTGGGGCAATATGCCATTGTCGTTAGCATATGGTGTTTATGCCTCCCAGTTTTGCGATACGCAAGATCATGTTCTGAGTACGATCAATGTTTAAACCTTGGAATACTTCTGACAAATAATTTGATGTTACAAGGGTATCAACAATCTCGTTTAAAGTCATCATTTTGCTAATTCTATGGTTGATACAATGACCTCGTTTGCAACCTTTTGTAAGGTCGAATGTTGACTAACGTTTTCGATACAAATTGTTAGACTATTATTTTCATACTGAGCTGAATACGACTCTACTCCGTTAACTCGAACAAGATAAAGAAATCAAGCTCGGATGTGACTGCTCACTCTTCCACGACACCTGATTCCATCTCTGATGTTTTCAGGGGGTCTGTGTTTGCTGTGCACTCTATTTTTAAAGATTAACTGAAGTTTTAAGCATGAATACTGTTTGTCATCTTTACATTCCAATATGAATGTTTCGAAAAGTACTTGCAGAAGCCAATTGATATTTTTAAATTCAGATTTGACATAAATTTTAGTTTGATTAGTGTATAAAAAAGGGAAGCAAAGACAGATAAATTCTAGATTTATTAGTATCTTTTACAGATTTGCAAGCCTGGTTTTACGAAGCCTTGTCGGTGTCCCTCTAATTTGGGAAAACAACGCTGCGAATACAGATATGGTAAATATTTACTTATCTTATGTAATATTACTCACAATTATGATAAGTTTTGAAAACTAATAATTATATTTCTTCTTCGAGATTGTCAAGGGAAGTTGGTGGAGCAAAATACAGCTACTTACCGCTTTTGGCGACTGTTTTCCTCTAATGATTGGCGTGAACTTCTGTGTGAAATGACCATAGATAATGGCGGATGGATCGTAAGTCAAATATTTTTTGTTTGAAATTTAGAAATAATACATACTCCATCTTAATATTCCATATTTTTAAAGTATATACATGTATAATTCGTCAGTTTCATGTTTAATACTCTTTAGAAAGTATATTATAAAAAAGAACTTTCTGCTTGAGTCCCGATAGAATATTAATTCATGTATAAGAAACTTTCCAATTAAATTGCAAGTTTAACTTTAAAAAAAAATTTTGAATGTTGCTGTGAAATATACTTTGATTTTTTGCATTTATTATGGTAGATTTAATAATTTATTATGGAACATGAATTTACCACATGAACTATAGCTTCTTTTTTTCAATTTACAACCTATTTTCTTTTCAACGCTTTTTAAATCAAGAATTAACTTGTTTAACGATTTTTTTTTATTGCTTATACTTCTATTCTGATATCAAAGATTTTTCAACGACGAGTGGATGGCAGCACAGATTTTTACAGGAACTGGACCGAATATGAGAATGGATTTGGTGACCTCACTGCTAGTTTCTATATGGGTACTGATATATTTAAACTTTTGAATTGAATTAAAATTAATCCTTTGTTAAAATACTTTATGTTATTTCTTTTTTAATTTAAAGTCTTTAAATTTAAACAGTGGCATACTAGTAATAAGATAAGTGAAGTTAAATAACAATTAGACCTTTGGGTTAACGGACTTTTTTATTTCTTTTATTCAATAAAATATTGCTAAACAATTCTAAAGATAATTAAGATCACATAATAAGAGATTTTTAAAAGTTTGTTTCCCTATCCAAAATTGTTGAAAAAGATATTAATCCAATTTATTGCCTAAAGGTTTGGTTTTCATGATTAAATAATTAAAATACTAGTATAACCATGTATTTTGAAGAAAAGTGCTTAATTTCTTCCAATTTATTTCATAAAGTTATTTAGTAATAAAATATTCTTTTATTTGGATGATAGGAACTTAGGATTTTTAGAGGAAAAAGGCTCCTCTCTTTTGGGTGGTCACATATGTAAAGTGTTAACTTCTGCTTAACCCTTGCATTTATGTGCATATTTACTTGGACAGAATGTAATATGTATTTTCTTTAGAAATGAAGCTTTTTATTCCTTACAATTTTCAGGAAACAGTCCTCTCTATGAAATTGTAAAAACTGGAGACTACGAGCTTAGAATTGAATTAGAAGATCAAGCTGGGCAGAGGAGATTTGCTGCTTACACTGACTTCTTTCTGGGAGGGCCCAATACTTCCTATACACTTCATGTGTCAGGATATCATGGAAACGCAGGTCGGTAAAGACTGGAAATTAAATTTACTTGGTTTGAGTATGTTACTTTAATGTTATGTTGTAAACTCAATAAATGGAAAATGTGAAGATGACGATTTGTGATCTACTAAACTACATATACATACAGTGTATACAATATGTACATTGTAATCGATCTAAGAAAAAAATTACTAACAATACAAATATAGGGACAGAGACTTCCTTAACGATACAAATGTTACTTAATTATACTCTGATATGGGATGGTAGAATATAAGATTTTAAAGCTCACTCTCTCAGATCATATTTGCTTTCATAAATTAAAAGACATTCTATGAAATATAACGTCACCCATGTCTTCGATTTCAAAACTTTATGTATGAATAAAGGGTCATATTATTCTTATTCTGCAACAGCAAGATATTTTAATGAGTTATTTGTCTTGTGGCATACAAATTGAGGCCAACAATGAGCTCAATGCAACTCACCAGCTTTATGTTCAGTGTCCCTTTTTGAGAATTTTTCATCATATTTAGACGTCACCACAGCCTGTTGGAGAGCTGTAAACTTTAGACCTATACTCGACACTTAGGGCCATTGAGCAGTGAGGGATCTTTTTCGTGCCAGCACCTACTGTGACACGGGACCTCGGTTTATACGAACTTATCCTAAGGACTAGTCTCCTTGTCCCGCAGTGGGATTCGAACCCGAGACGTAAGGATCAACTCCTTACTCCGCGACTAAGTTTGAACATCTAACTTAGAGAGTCGTCAAGACTGATCCTGTAAAACAAAAATTTTCCTTTCAAATGGAGGAGAGAGACGCAACGTTTCTGTTTCTTATATATGTAGTTTGAAAGTATAAATATTTTGAATATAATTCCACCTCTGGAATTTCCAGAGGTCCGTGTTTTATACCCTCTTCATATATTTGTATTGTTTATAGATTTTTTTTTTTTAGATCGATCACAGTTCGTTGTCTTCACCTTTTACTTTGTATAATTCTTCGATTTAATACTTTTAAATAATTAAAGATATTTTTCACACTCTAGATGACGGTCTTAAATATCATAATGGCATGAAGTTTTCTACTTTCGACAATGATAATGATATCCATGAATCAGGGAATTGTGCTGTCGACTTTCGAGCTGCTTGGTGGTACCTTAATTGCTACCACAGCAACTTAAATGGAGTCTATGGGAGACACGATGGTGGAATGTATTGGTTTCCTTGGCAAGGATTTCATCAGTCTTTAAAATCAACTATGATGATGGTTAGAAAGAAGATTCTTTGACGTGTAACTGATCAAACATGGAAAACCAATATAAAAGAATACAAATCCAGTATATTGTTTGATTTTAAGTCCATTCCACATATGTATATATTTACAACTATTAGTTACTGAACAAATAAATACATTATAAATGGCACCATTTCTTGGTTATGAATTTAAAGGACAATCCATGTAATCACTCATCATTGTATATTTATACTCAACATTAAATATTCTTCTTTCACCACTTATTTTGGATTTAAAATATCCAACATTTTCATTATTTCCCTTAAAATATTTATTTAGCTGTAATATGTATCATAATTATTTATTTATTTTTTCACAAAGATGGAATGTTTTCTGACTTTGACAATGGCAATGATAATTCATTATGGGAGATTGTAATAGAAATATTCATTAATCAGAGATATACTGCAGAATTGTGCAATGCTATGAATTTTATTTATTATATATTTGTCAAATAACAAACCACAAATTAAAGTTTCCAAAGGCGGATCCAGGGCCGGCGCGCCGGGCGTGCGCCCCCCCCCCAAAAGTATCCAAATTAAGGTCTTTTCACAAGGATATCATATGTGAAGTATAAAAGCCGAGCACCAAAAGTAAACTTATTCAAAAGTAATGGCCAAGGTTAAAGTTTTCCAAAAGTAGGTCAAACTCCAAGGTCAAGATCAAAGGGTCAAAGTTGTTGGTATCCAAAGGAAGGTCTTGTCACAATGATTACATATGTGAAGTATGAAAGCCCTAGCACCAACCTTTCAAAAGTTATAGCCGAGGTTAAAGTTTTCCAAAAGTACGTCAAACTCCAAGGTCAAAGGTTCAAAGCTGTTCGTATCCAAAGAAAAGTCTTGTCACAAGGATTACATACGTGAAGTATGAAAGTCCTAGCACCAACCGTTCGAAAATTATGGCCAAGGTTAAAGTTTTGCAAAAGTAGGTCAAACTCCAAGGTCAAGGTCAAAGGGTCAATTTTGTTGATATCCAAAGGAAGGCATTGTCCCAAGGATTACATATGTGAAGTTTGAAAGCCCTAGCTCTAACCGTTCAAAAGTTATGGCCAATGTTAAAGTTTTTCAAAAGTAGGTCAAACTCCAAGGTCAAAATGTCAAAAATTTTTGGTATCCAAAGAAAGGTCTTGTCACAAGGATTACACATGTGAAGTATGAAAGCCCTAGCACCAACTGTTCAAAAATTATCCCAAGGTTAACGTTTTTTTCAAAAGTAGGTCAAACTCTAAGGTCAAGGTCAAAAGGTTAAAGTTGTTGGTATCCGAAGAAAGGACTTGTCAGTAGGTATACACATATGAAGTTTGAAAGCCATAGCACCAACCATTCAAAGTTTTGACCAAGGTTAAAGTCTGAAAAATTTTTGCAAAAAGTGGGTCAAACTCCAAGGTCAAAAGGTCAATTTTTTTGGTACCCAAAGAAAGGTCTTGTCACAAGGAATACACATGTGAAATATAAATGCCATAGCTCAAACCAATCAAAAGTTATGGGCAAGGTTAAAGTTTTTGCGGACAAACAGACAGACAGACAGGGCAAAAACTATATGCCCCCGAATCTTCGATTACGGGGGCATAAAAAAAGTGTACATCAACGTTGAATATTTATAGTAAAACTATGTGTTTTATAATTAAATAATGTGATTGTTACATGTATGTGTTAGATGTCAATAAATTAACAGGTGCTTCGGTCTTTTACAAAATAAGTCTGCAGAAACATTGTTTAAATAAAGTTTGTTTGTTTCTTCGTCCATTAGAGAAATTTCACTCATATTGAGACGCCACCACTTGTCGATGGAGGGCTGTAAATTTAATGCTGTACTCGGCACTTACTGCCTTTGAGCAGTGAGGGATCTTTTTCGTGCCAGCATCTACCGCGACACGGGACTTCGGTTTATACGGTCTCATCCCGTCTCCAAGTTATACAGTTGATTCGAACCCGCGACGTAAGGATCAACTTCTTACTCAGCGACTCTAGCTAGAGCAAACGTTCTAACCACTGCTCCATGTGGGCAACATTTAAAATGAGTTGATTGACTCTAGATTATTGACATTTATTCATAATGCTTAAGATACGTTTAAATGTAATTCTTATCTTTTCTAACCTCAAATTGCAATAATATTTCACTCATTATTATTAATTATCATAAAATTTAGAAAGAGAAAAAATACACTTGACTAGACTATACGAATCTATTTATACTGAATAAAATATATATAACCTAGTAAACTTTAAAAGTAAATTAATTCAAATATAACATAAAATACATTCAAAAGCTTTAAAACAGAATATGTTTTGCTCTTCAATCGTGAAATAATCAAGATAGGAATTAAGCACTGTAATTTTTACACACCGTGACAGCTTTGTACACAATCTCACATGCTTGTTTATTTCCCAGGAGACTGAAATCTGTTGATTAAAGGCCGGGGAATCCTTTATTTATCTCCTTAATGGTTAGCTCATTTCAGAGAATAAATTGTTTATTCGTCTACTTAAGAGTATCAAAAATGTTTATGAGTTTACTTTAATTAGCATTTGGGAGATTTTGCTTCAAATTCTTGAATTTCACTGTGCAAGCATTGGAATTTTGTGTATAACCAATTTTTTAAAGTTTTTATGTCGAGGAAACGATAATCATTCAAAATTTATCTAATTCTTATACTGGTTATGATTTTATTTTTCGAGGAAAAACATCATATGAATTGAAGCATTTTTCTTTTTTTCCGGGAAGGGGGGGGGGTGAAAACTTGATCTGATGCAAAATATTCTACTGGTTGCAAACGCGAATATTTGACGTGTGGAATCTTTCGAATGCAATAGCTTGTTTCACTAAAAATTTACAAAAAAGTAATAATAATAATAAAAAAGATAAAAGATAAAAAAAAAAAATAAAATTCCGTGTTATATCGAGATCATATATCCTGCATGTATTTAAGAAGCATTTAATTTAAATTAATTTAGTTTAATTTAATTTAAGCAAATGCAAACAAACAACTTTTTAAATTTAGACATTGCATAATACTGAAATGTTAAATTAATTAATGATATATCTAAGGAATGTTTTTAAGTTTTGTGTGAGTTATTGGTGTGTAAATCACACAGACATGTCACGTAGGCATATTTCATGAAACGCGCTAGCGCTTCATGAAAAGTATGCCCATGTGCACGTCTGTGTGATTTACACACTAATAATTCACACTAAACTTAAAAACAATCCTTATATTTACATTTTAAGTGTTCAAAAGCAGCAAAAATATACTCAGTGGTTGAATTATTCGCTGTCTTGTATCGTTACGTTTTTATTAACCTCTCTGTAGCCCATTGTGACGTCACTTTAGCGCGAGTTTCTCCGTGCATATTTCTACGCGTGAGTATACACGAAAATGGCATTCAAATGAATTTCACGGTTGGCTTAGTAGAAAAACACAGCAAATGTAAATATTAAGAAGTGAATGAAAATTAATTTGAAATCTCTCGATGGCAGAAACTTGCACGGTTTATGTACAACCGATAAAAGTCAAATATCTGTGTATATATGTTCATCATATCCATGAAAAGCAAACTCCTTTCTATTTGCAGGCGAATTTCCACTGAGGATTTGTCAGGATTACAAAGACTATCCCAAATCTTACTTCTTCACTTTCCAAGAAAAAAAAATCGAGGATATGACTGCGATATACAAGCATGCTTACTGTCCTTCAATGCTGAAGTGAAGTACAAGTATACGGCGACAATGGAGTAGTTCTGGTTATTTGTCACTTAGGGTGTATTTTGAATTTACTGGCGGGTGAGGTTAATGCAAAGTTTATATCATATTGAAAATTTTATTTACCTCAAGTCAGATATATGTAGCTCAAAATTTACAACATGATATGTATATACGTGCATTTTAAAATATTATAAATGCTACATTATGAATTTAAAAAATTGAATAAAAAAAATTAAAGTTAATTATCTCGTACATAAAAGTATCTCTTGATGCTTCTCTTTGAAATTAAATATAATTCAAAGAATTTTGATTCGATTTCAAATCTTTGTTCAAACATTATTAATACAGGTGTTTTAATTTTCTCGAAAAGCTTCAGAATTCTGATGATCAAGTGGAAATAACTTCAATGACAGGTCATTCCTTTGGTTGTTCAGCTTTGGCACGAATTATATTGAATGAATAGTAATTTAAGGCTCCTCTAAACGATTCTATCTAAATCAATCAATGCTGGACTTGGATGCCACAATCGTGACCCTATTATAAATTACACTTCCATAATTATTATAAAACCGACTGTCTGCCATGCAGAAACTTCAGAAGATGTTTCTGAAGGTTAAATAGGTTTTGTTATTGACATATCACCCTTCATTTTAAAATAAAGGAACAATGAAATTCCTCTGAACCAATAAACGAAGAGGCACCGATAAAGCAAGTTTATGATGTAAATTACAATGAAAGAATGCCGCATTCAAACTAGAAATTTTTTTTTTTTAAATATGTTAAGAACATGCATGCATGAACTTCAGACAAAAATCAGTAAGAGGGCTTGAATATTGAATTTGATGTACTTATTTAATACCCACAATAGAGTTTCCACTTTGTTAAAGTTAAAAACTTTGAGGGAAGCTTTGCTATGCGGAAAGTTTACTATACGACGTCAGCTCCGGATAGTTTGCCTATTCTACTAGTATGCTTTTGAATGATATGAATAAAAAGCTGGAATGTTAATACATGTATAATGTCAATCTTATACGGTACCAATTTTGATGCACCAGATGTCAGTGATGCTCATGCCGAAACGTTGGAAATCCGAAATATTAAAATAAAAAAAAAAACTTTGAAGAGCTGAAAAAGGGGGTGCCAAAGACTTGAGCCTAATACGTCGAAGGATCAGAGCCATGCATGATGGATATAATCCTCAATTTTGAAATAAATTTCTGAATTTTACCACTTCTTGAATAAGCATCTACCATCGACCGGTTTCTAAAGCTTGTAAGAAACATATGTATTTA